ATGTGCTCAAGAATAAAGCTCAAGAATATTTACAGGAATATAAAAAGATTCAGATTCAGTGCTTAACAAGAAAAATTCACAATGTGTGACATCCAATAAAAATTTGCCAGGCATGAAAAAAATTAGAAAAACATAACCTATAATGAGGAAAAAGAATAATCCATTGAGCTGACACAGAGGTTGGAATTAGCAAAGAAGGCCATTAAAATAGCTATTATAACTATATTTCATACATTCAGACATTAAGTAGAGACATGGGAGATTTTAATAAGACTTGAAATGAACTTTTTAGATGAAAACTTAATTGTGACTTGAAAAATACACTGGGTAATATTGACAACAGGTTAGATATCAGAGAAGAAAAATATTAGTGAACTTGAAGACACAATGCAATAGAGACTACCCGAGATGCAATACAGAGAGAAAAGAGAAAAAATGCAAGAGAATAGCATCAGGGAGTTGTCAGTCAATGTCAAGCAGTCAAATATACATGTAATTGAAGAACCCTAAGGAGAGAAGAAAGGGGGAGACAGACATAATTTGAAGAAATAATGACCAAAATTTTCCCAAGTTTAACAAAAACTATAGACTCGCGAGCTAAGACTCTCAACAAATCCCAAGCACACAAAGTGTTTGAAGAAAGGTACACAAAGTTACATCTTGATTAAACTGATCAAAGAAAGAAATCCTTAAAATAACCAGAGGAAAAAAGAGGTAAAAAAGTGACAAAGATAAAAATGGTCACAGACTTCTCATTAGAATCAATATGAGACAGTGATAGTGGATCAGCCTCTTAAAGTACTAAAAAGAAAAAATCTGTCCATCCAGAATTCTATCCCTAGCAAAAAATATCTTTCAAAAAGTGAAGGTGTAAAAGATACAAAAACAGAAAGAATCAATTACCAGCAACCTGTGTTACAAGAAAAGTTAGAGGTCACCCTTCTGGCAGAAAGATGATACCTGAAGCCAATATTCATCTACATAAAAGAATGAAGAGCAGCAGATGACAGCCTGCGACTTGTGAAGACTTGGATGGGCAGAGAGGTGTTGCATCAACTGAAATAAATCAGATGGGGAAAGACAAATAAAATGCCATATGATTTCACTAGGATGTGGAATATAAACAACAGTAAAACAAATGCACAAACAAAACAAAGCAAAAGTTAACTGTCAGATACAGAGAACATATTGAAAGCTACCAGAGGGAAAGGCAAGAAGGGGGAGAGTGAAATGGATAAAGGGGATCAATTCTATGGTGACAGAGAAACTAGCCTTTTGGGGATGAACATGAGGTAGTGCACAAAGATGGTGAGTTATAATATTGTATACCTGAAACTTAGATACTATTATAAATCAAAATTACCTCATTAAAAAAAGAAGAGCATTTGAAAGTGTACATGGGAAACGACATAGGTAAATATAGACTTTTGTATTATTTAAATCTCTTTACAAGATAATTAACTACTGAGAGAAAAATGATAATAATATACTGTGGAATTTATATCTTGTGTTGATGTAAAATGTGTGACAATGGTAGCATAAAGACTGGGAAGGAAGGCGTGGAAGAATACTATTGTAAAGTCTAAACTATACCTGAAATGATATAATATCACTTGAAGATCAGATATGAAAATTTAGGTCTAGATCTATAAGATATAGGTGACTATCACTCATTACACATCATATAGTTGATATATAAGATGTGGAAATATGTATTTTATACATTTTATTTATATATATGACATCTATGATACATATAATGATATAAGCCCCCAAACAGCTACGAAAATAACAAAAGAAGTAATTATAGAAAACAAGGCAACAAAGGAGATAAAAAGAAATTATAAAACTTATAAATGTCAGAAGAAGGGAACTATGAATGGATGCAAAACTAGAATATCATCATACAGGCTGTGCTACCTCTTAAACACTAACAATAATATTGATTGACATAATAATTTTTAATAGTGAATATTTTTGAATTGTATAATAACTATAGGAGAAGAAATTATGACACGGTGCTAGGAAATTCAGAAAAACAAATTTCATCTAAAACAAATATTCTATCTTCTTAGTCAAAGTCATCCAAGCTTTATCTCTTTTCACTAACATCATAAACAGTCATTTTTGGTATAAAATTAGCTTTAAGAATCCTAAAACCTCCACAATTTATCATTTGTTATACTTGACAGTTCGGTTGTTTTATTTATTCTTTTATGAGATTAAATTTCTCCTGTGATAGTGTGCCTTCTGTATTCATTAACTTTTACAAACTACAAATGCAAATTTGTGGAAAAGCATCATTTTAATTTCCTCCTCCCTGTAGTGCATAAATCACAGCAGAGCTTAAAAGACATGCCAATTTGAGAAACAACGGTGCTTTTGTGTTTGGGTTTACATTCCCAGCATGATCTAATGCTAATACCTGTTTGCATTTATATGCAAGTTCTTGATGTTCGTGGGGTAGATTTTTATAGAATAAAACAGAAAGGTTTTGTTTCACCTTGGCTTCAAGAGAGAAAGAAATGACAAAAACCCAATTGCTAGCCAAACTGCAAATTCCTCTGAAATTCACACTCTGTGCAAGTGAGAAAAACCCTGCAATTTAAGCTACATTTTATTCTTTCCTGTTCCACCAGCAAAAATATTCAGAAACCAATGACCTAACTGCCTGATCTCAAAGGCATCGCAAGTGCTTGCCTTAGAATCATGAGAAATCATTCAACTCTCTTGTTTTCCTGGTGACTGGAAACTAAATTATCCCCCTAGGTAGCCACACGTGTCCCCCTTTTCTCTCTGGCCAAGTTCCTGAGCCTTTTTGACACGGTATGGGTATGGATATTCTAGGATTGGGTGTTCTGACATGGGAAAGGGCAGAAATTTACTGGTGGTGGACAAATACCCCCTAGCCACGACAATAGCTTTTCTGGCATGTGAGGTCAAAAATGTGCCTGTGACCATGACACGCCGTGTCACTGTGTGAGCCAGCCAGGCCAGGTAAGAGGACAGAGCTGGGAGAAGACACAGAGGAGGGTCTGTGTCAATCACTGGTCCTTTCATTTGAAATCAAGGTTCAGTTCTTATAGGCTATTGAGTGGAATTATTATTTAGGTTCAGGGTTCTGCAGCGAAAATGATAGATTCCAGTGTGATTCCTGGTTTTCACGGAGATGAGGTTTGAGTTTTGTAATGGATTCACAGGTTTTCTAATGAACTCTGGAGGGTTGACTAGGTCCTCTGCTCGCTGCCAAACATTCTATAAAATCATCTCATTTAACACAAAGCTAAGTCATCACAATTTTACAAAGGAAGAAATCGAATCCAGAAAGGAGAGAGGGCATCACGCACCTAACGGGGACACTAAGTCAGACTAGGAAGCCTCTTGCTTATTATCCTTACCACGTTTACGCAGACACTGTAATGTCACCATTTACACACAATTTGTCCAAATCTGAACTGCTGAGGCGTTGCACAGGGGCAGCTGCGGAGGGGCTCGGGGCTCCTTCTCCACCTAGCCCTCTTGCTTTCATCTTATCCTTGCCTCTCTTTAGCATTGTGGATGATTAGTTCGTCGGCTGCCACATGAGACCAGACTTACAGGCAACGGTGAGTGAGTGAAAGAAACAGGCATGCCGGAGTCAGGCAGCCAGCACCCTCATTAGCTCTGTAACTTTGCGCGCGTTCGTGTACCTGCTTTTTCAACACGACCAAGTGGCGATGAGCAGCTCTATGAGGTGCGATGCCTTTAAGTGGTCGACACGAGACGGTGCCAGGGACACAGAGGATGCCCAGTAAATGCCCGGTGTCTCTGGAGTCTGAGAGTCAGTATCTTGCTTGCCCCTGGGTTGCCTCTGCTCTTGGTACATAGTGAGCGCTCAGGAAAATTTATTGCTGCTACGAAGGCAGTGACAGCAAAGGAAATTTTTCACCACTGTCTGTTTCTAGGGGTATTTGAAGTAGAGCAGTCATCTGTCCCAGATTCTGGCAGCCGTGGACCGGGAAGAGCGAGTCAGGGCGCGGGTCCCGAGCTGATGCTGGGGCTTTTGAGCTCGAGATCCGCACCTGCGAGGGCGCAGCCAGGACGCGGGGAGCCGCAGTTGCCTGCAGAGGGCGCCCCCGGCTCGCTGAGCGCGAAGAGCTGAGCTTGGGACGCTAGCAGGTCGCGGGGCACTGGCTGCAGTCGGGCGCTGACTGCCGCCGGGTACGCGCAGGTGACCCGGGCGGAGCGCTAGGTGAGTGCCTTCGGAGCGCAACAGCCGGGCACTCCCGTGCACCGAGCCTTTCTCACGAGCTGTAAGTACAGGCGCCTGGGGTAGGGGGGAGTTGCACGTCTCATTCTTGTTTAGGGGCACTTGGAGGCAGTGCAAGTCGGACCGGGGCGGGCTGATGGTTGGTGCGCTTGGGGGAGTGGGCAGGATTCCTGGTTGTGGTGGTCTTTGGGAAGGTTTGGGGTCGATCCGGAGGAGCACTGGCAGTCCGGCGGACCTTTTTATTCGGGCGACTCCAGTTTACTTGAGGTTCTAATACTAGGATTTGTTTCTCGGGCTCCATCTCGTGCTATCCGGGGGGCCGAGGGTCTCGGGGCTGGTGGGGTACTCGCGGGAGGGCGATCAATCACCTGGGCAGCCCCCACCGCTTTAACCCTTCCAGGGGAACCACGTGCTGCAACTCTGCCTGTCAAGCAAAGCCCGCCTCCGGGGCATGGGAGGGGACTCGGGGGAGGGGTGGGCTGTGCCCCGCGGGAACCCGGCCGGCCCGGGCGCCCGCCGGTGCCAGCTCGGTTCTCTCTGCCTCTCGCTCCCACGGGCTCCTCGGAGGTAGTGCCGCAGGGAGACGCAGGGCCCTGCCCGGAGGAGCTTGAAGTCTCTCGAGGGCCGGCCAGGTGCTCGGCTTCATGAAAGGAAGCAAAGAATACAAGCTGCCCAAGTGACTAACTCCGGAAGTCCCTCTCCCAAGCAAGCTGTGAGCGTCCAGGAAACCTTTCCCCAGGTTTCAACCACTTTGAATCTTCTCTAGTCGTTCCAGGCAGAGGGACAACTTCAGGGTCTCTGGGGCCTGGCCCAGGATCCTTTACCCAAATCCTCCCGGGCGATTTATGAGAATCCGGAGCGAGATACTGGCTGCGGGCGCCTGGCAGGACTCAGGCGCGCCTCCAGGTCTTGTGGAGCGGTGGCACTTCTCAAAGCCCACTTACAGAGCTCCAGGAGCTTTGGGAGTCAGAACTACCCCAAGGCAAGGTAGGTGGCTCAGACGGAGCTGGATCGGGGTTGACACCAGTAAAAATGCAATCTGCTCGAGTCTTGGCGAACGACCTTTGCTTTCTCTTTGCTTTTTAGGGCTTCTGGAGAGCTGCTACCTAGCCTGGGGCTTGAAAGAGGGAGGCATGCCTTTTCAGTTGCACCTCAGAAGGGGAGAGTTCTTTTTCATCACCAGAAAGGCAACAAACCTGAAATGTGACTATTCAATAGCTGGGCAAAATGTCTGGGAGTCTCTGGACTGATAGCTTAGAATATGCTTAAAAGTCAGTGCATTCTTTGGGAAATTGAAGGACCAGCTGCTTGTTGTGACAGTGGCCTGGAGCAAGGGAATCATTAGATAGTTATAAAAGGCAAGAGGGACTTTTCCTAGGGTCTGACTTGGATTGCCAAGGGCAGGCTCCTGCCACGCATTTCTTGTAGTCTTCTGATGGAATGCTGCTGAGGTCCCCAACTCCTGGGGCTTTTGTAAGGGACTGCTTGGTAAGTGAGAACTCCTGCCCAGGAACTTGAGGGGTGTCAGCCCCCTATGTACTCTCCTTCAGGAAGATGAAGACTCTGAACACCTCCACCATGGATGAGGCTGGGATGGTGGTGGAGAGGGACTTCTCCTTCCGCATCCTCACAGCCTGTTTCCTGTCACTGCTCATCCTGTCCACACTCCTGGGGAACACACTGGTCTGTGCTGCCGTCATCAGATTCCGACACCTACGATCCAAGGTGACCAACTTCTTTGTCATCTCCTTGGCAGTATCGGATCTTTTGGTGGCCGTGTTGGTCATGCCCTGGAAAGCAGTAGCCGAGATTGCCGGCTTCTGGCCCTTTGGGTCCTTCTGTAACATCTGGGTGGCCTTTGACATCATGTGCTCCACCGCATCCATCCTTAACCTCTGTGTGATCAGCGTGGATAGGTACTGGGCCATCTCAAGTCCCTTCCGGTATGAGAGGAAGATGACCCCCAAGGCAGCCTTCATTCTGATCAGCGTGGCTTGGACCTTGTCAGTACTCATCTCCTTCATTCCGGTGCAGCTTAGTTGGCACAAGGCGAAACCCACAAACCCCTCAGATGGGAATGAGACTTCCCTGGTCGAGACCACAGACAATTGTGACTCCAGCTTGAGCAGGACATATGCCATTTCATCCTCCCTAATAAGCTTTTATATCCCTGTGGCCATCATGATTGTCACTTACACCAGGATCTACAGGATCGCCCAGAAACAGATAAGGCGTATCTCGGCCTTGGAGAGGGCAGCGGTCCATGCCAAGAATTGCCAGACCACTACAGGTAATGGAAACCTTGTGGAGTGTTCCCAACCAGAAAGCTCCTTTAAGATGTCCTTCAAAAGAGAGACGAAAGTCCTGAAGACTCTGTCTGTGATCATGGGGGTATTTGTGTGCTGCTGGCTGCCTTTCTTCATCTTGAACTGCATGGTGCCCTTCTGTGGGTCTGGAGAGACCCAACCCTTCTGCATCGATTCCATCACCTTTGATGTGTTTGTGTGGTTTGGGTGGGCAAATTCCTCTTTGAACCCCATCATTTATGCCTTCAATGCTGATTTTCGGAAGGCGTTTTCAACCCTGCTAGGATGTTACAGACTTTGCCCTACAACCAACAATGCCATAGAGACGGTCAGCATCAATAACAATGGGGCTGTGGTCTTTTCCAGCCATCACGAGCCACGTGGCTCTATATCCAAGGACTGCAATCTGGTGTACCTGATCCCACATGCCGTGGGCTCCTCCGAGGAACTGAAGAAGGAGGAGGGAGGTGGAATAGCCAAACCCTTGGAGAAGTTGTCCCCGGCCCTCTCTGTCATATTGGACTATGACACTGATGTGTCTCTGGAGAAGATCCAGCCCATCACGCAGAACGGACAGCATCCAACCTGAGTGCGGCATCACTCGTGCCCGACATGCTCATCCCCAAAGCTAGAGGAGACTTCTTGGGGGCTTGCTGTAAAGAAACTGAGGTGAGGTGAACACTGAGATGTCAGGCAAGCCCTCCTCTGCTGCTTTTTCTCAACACACCACTATTTTCAAATACATTCCAGTGTGTTTTCTGTGTGGCACAGAGCGAATCAACGAGGGGCCCACGGGAAGCTGACATTCACAAAGGACGTGTCTTTGGCTCCAACATTGTTTTTAGAAACTGATTCTTGTTTTAGGACTTAACATATAGGGCAGAGAATCAACAATGAACAGCTTCACTTAAAAAAATTAAACCTTTCCGAGAAGGAAATGAGAAGGGTTGAGTTTGCTGTGTACAAACAGGTGCTAACTCTGGTCCGAGCAAAGTTTTCAAATTGTAAAGGTAGGTGCATGCCTTCATAAATTATTCCTGAAAAATAATTGAGCCTTACAGTAGGAGGGATTTTTTTTTCAGAATTGAGAGATGCTTTGTTAATATTGGTTTTATTTATTTATTGTACTATGTGGATATTTTTAATTTATTATAATAAATCTATATTTATCATATTTAATAGGATAAAGTAATGTTATCTGAAAACCTTACAGTCCCAGTTTTGCCCATTGATCTAGCACTTTATAAGCTAATGAAATGAACACACTGACTCTGAAGATTCTAAATGCTCATAAATTACTTCTAGAAACAAGGCAAAGACTGACAGGAAATGAAGTTGTGCTGATTCCTTGAGATTCATTAGCATAAATAAATACAAGGTGAGAAATGACAAAGGCTGTGAATATTTTCTTTTCTAAAAAGATTTTGAAAATTTTAAAAAGCATAGCTACTATTGTGTTCCAAAATTTTTTAATGACAAAGGCTCTCCCGGGAGAATGATGTACCATTCTGTAAATATCTTAAATAAAAGTCAGCTTAATGAAGAAAGATCCAACTTTAGTTAGGATCTTAGGTGGTAATAAAAATTACTTTGTATTTATGTAAAATAATTGGCCCTTTCTGTCTTTTCTCATTCCACCTGTCTGATAGCTTTTCTGAACCAAACAAATGGCTATCCTGCTTAGATGGGTGTAGTGAAAAACCTGGGTTCCCTTAGGCCGGTGTCACAGCAGTGTCAGCAATGGATAGAGCAAACCTGCACCTCCATCTCATCAGGTCAAACAAGCCACTCAGTGGGGTCACTTTTTGTAGTGCTTTAATCTGAATTTAGAAGTGATTTTTTTAAAATAAAGTCTTTAAATGTTAATGGTATACTAACTAACAAATAGTGCCTCATTATCATCCTCCAGTAAGACTCTTCTCTCGGGATGTGTTTAATACCCCAAAGCCATCAGTATCTCTTTTGACAAATGCTAGCCCTTTCTCTGTGCTTTGGAATCAAGTTCTATGTCATCGCCTGGACTGTACAAAGTATCATAAACCTCCCTTGCCAGATACTAACTTGTGAGGTATTTCAAGAGAGTTTCTTTGAAATGTTTACAAAGTATTCTTGTTGACAAACTATTGACTTAACGTTCAAATGAAATGGGTAACAAGAAAGAAATCTACTGAAAAGTATCTCCTGCATCAGGTCTGTGTTCTTTATGCATTGTGAATGTTTTCTTAATTTTATTGCCTGCGTGCTTTCTTACATATAATAAAATTATTTTGTGAACTCAAATCTACCCTGAATGAGCCGTGTTGCATTTGTTAAATGCGTTTTTAAAATGAAGATATTTCAGAGAGACAAATAAGAAAACATGGGCATTTTCAAGTATATGTTCCTTTTCTTTTCCGATTTAATGGAACTTTCTTCTCTTCTGTATGCCACATGTTGCCTTTGACTATTTAAAAAGGAAATATTTTGAATTGTACTGTGCACTCTTGTTTTCCTTCTATCCTAAAAACATTCTTTTTGAGAAAAGAAACCCTTCTTCACTGGAGGAATTATTGCAGTTTTTATAGCATACATTTAAAGCTTTTCAAAATCTCTGTGCTTTCTTTCAAAGAGCCCAGGGATTTTAAATAATATAAAAATGACAGAAAAGATGGTGGCCTGCTAGGGGTTGTTGTGGACACTCATGTATGGCAGCACTGTATGTATGCCTAGTGTTTGTTTTAAGAGTAAAACATAACAGGACTATTTTTCCTGGAGAAAATATTCAGGTTATGATTCTGAGCTTCTCAAAATGTCTTATAGGGCACAGTGTTGGTCCTGTTAAACCTGCTGAGGCCACCCACCTCCGCCCCCCCCCCACCTTTTCATCTCAAAGGAGGAGCATGACTGAACAGTGGGTGATGTAGAAATGAAGGGTTAAGTTTATAATTTGGAACATCACACAGCAGATGGTCTCTTTTACATTTCCATATTTGCCTTCCCAAGGCTTTGGCATATAATGAACATATCGAGGCTGAAGGCGCATCAAGCATGGTGCCTTTTCTTTTTGCTTCCTGAGTTTCTGGGGACATTCATTCTTTGCAGGTTCATTTCGTTCTTTTATTAAAAGTCCAGCAACACTAGGTACGATGCTTAGGATTGTCCCTTTTCCAGCCAAGGCACCATAGCCTTTGCCATTTATTTCATTGGCAAAGAGTGAAAAAATAAATGTTGTGTCTAGAAATCATATGAAATAACTAAAATCCAGCACACTGCAGAAGAGACTTTATTTTCGGTTCCTGGCATGTTGGGTTATTTAAAGGGTATTTTGTGAAATGTCAATTTTACTGAAAGAATTTTTCAGAGAATTTAATTTACAATCATATAAGCAATGTTTATGATTTTAATTTCACTTTCAACTATAGTGATGAGCTTTAAGGATGTTGAATATTTGTGAAATGCTTTACCAAGGAAGATGTAAGAGAAGTGATTTTTCCTCTTTTCCACCAAATAATGGTCAAATAGATGCTGGGCTCTTCTGGGTGGTGGAACAACAGGAAGTCTTATAGAAGGCAGGCAATGCTGGTCTTCAGGGGAAAGACTGGGGGTTATTTGGGAAAGTCAATGGTTTCTCTTGGGATCTGAATAAGGCATGGTTTCTGAGTCTCAGCTGTCCTGCTCCACTAAATGGAGGAGCAAAACTTCGGTATGAACTTCTTCAGTGGCCAGGTCACTCCCAAAAGTGAATTAATATGTAGACCATGTTCAGGGACTGTCTGAACGCTCCACTCTCTGTGGCTTCCTCCTGACCCTGCTCCCCCTGTTCAGGACCACACCAGCAGCATTTCAACTTGACCCTTCTGCCCCATCAGGCCGGTCCACCTTTGGGGCCCTGGAATACAGAAAGCAAAGGCTCTGTATCCCACAAACATGGATTCACATGCAGCTCCTATCGTGCTGTGTGTGAGTGAACAAATGTCTGTTCCTCTCTGAGCCTGTTTGCCCATTTGTGAAATGCAAATGAACATGTGGGTTCTGGCAAGGGGGTTACATGACACTAATGTCTGTGAGAGTGCTGACCATGGAAATGCTGGGCCCTCTGATTCTTCATAGATGTCTCCTTGGAAGGGGTAGGTGACCTAGTATTCACCACATTAGTACTAATGGAGCAGGTTTGCATTTGACTTCTCGGAAGGAAGGGACTTTTCAAGTACATGTGCCTTGGGGTTATCCCAGACTCCATTCTCTTTTGTTGTAGTTATCTGATATTTCAGAAGCAAGTAGCTTTTTACAGCTGCTTGGTTAAAAAAAAAAACAAAAAACTCCTTAATTTACCACAAGAGAGCAACTAAATGAAACTGACTATAATATTTTATATTATGAACTCTACTTTCTTGTGGAATTTGCTTTAGAAATAGTGAGTTGATGGCCAGATAGCCCTGGGCTTTTAAAACTAGGACCTGCTGCTTTGCGTGATCTGGTTACTGTCATTTGAAGGAACTAACAGTGTATCATGTGACTATAGGTATTCCATACCCCGGATACCCGTCTATGTATTTCTTAGAGATTTCCTGGATACAAACACACCATATCAGCCACTTTATTTGCATAGAGGATTGAGGGCATGAAGAGCATTACAGGAGAGAGAACCCTCTAAGATTTTGTTATGAGACCAATCTACTCTTTCTACCGCCTGTCATGTTAAATTACTGCCCGGTAATATACAGAATTATAAAAAGCAATATTTGAACTTGAGTTGGTTATATCAGTCAAGATTTGGGAGTTATAATTTTAAATAGTATTAGAAGTTCAAGACTAATCTCTGATTTAACTTTTTAATCAACTCAAGAAAATGTACAAAACCAGTTAAATTTTTTTCCACCCTTGTAAAATAGATATTCTACTTGCTCTCAAATTAGGCGAATGTTTACAACTCCTGAAGAGGATCTCCCCTGAGCTATGTCCACAGGAATGAGTCTACTCCCAGCACATCCAGTAGCAGAAATGGCAATATGGAGAGGATATCTAGGAGAGTAGGATGTTAGGGGAGAGTTTTTTCTTTTATGAATTTCATTAAATCTTTTTCTCTAAAAGATAAATAGCTTAGATAAAATGATGTACATCCCTTGAAAATAAATTTTTATAAGTCTACAATAAAGGGGTTGAAAGAGATGATTTAAAAAATTTTGCTGTTTTGCAAATACTAGATATGAGAGTCATAGGTATTTCAAATCCTTATTCTCTTTGTGATTAGAAAGCAGACAGCAATATTTATGAAACACAGGGCCTCCCTGGAGGTGCGGTGGTTGAGCACTGGGTTGCGAAGCTGCCTGCAGCCTCTGCAGTGCCGGTTCAATCCCCAGCTGCCGGGTCCCGCATGGCGTGCAGACCTCTCCTGCCACGCCGGCAGCTCCCCTCAGCAGTGAATTTCATCACTCTGTCTGTTCTGTTCCCCTCTCTGGCTCTGGTGAATTCTCTCACCTTCCCGTGCTTCTGACTGTACCCAGTGCTTGTATAAATAAATAAATCTTTAAAATAAAAAATACACAAATCTGACTGTATTATGCCCTTGCTTAACATTCTTCAGTGACACTCAATTTCTTTTAGGGAAAAAAAAGTCCAGTTCATGCAAGACACTTGGTGGTCTCTGCAGTGTCATTTGAGCAAAGTCCTTTCTTGTCTGCATGCCTTTGTTCACGCTGTCCCCTCTGCCTTAATGCCTGCGTAGACTTTGCCCACTCCTCCCCATCTCTTAAGATTCAATAGGGACATAATTGCAAAAGACCTTCTTTGGCACGTTCTCCCCACCCTACAGCCTTTATTTCTTTCCAAAGACTTGCCAAGTTGTATGAAATAATCTCCGTACCTCCTTATATATCTCCCTAGATTAAGAGAATAAAAGCTGTCTAGGTGGGTTTCCCTTTATACATTCCTAAACTTTCTGCATACTACCTGGCATATAGGAATTGCTTGTTAAATTTTGTTGAATGAATGAAAAGAATGGACAACTGAAAATTTTGGTGAAGTTTGTTTCTGCCAGGTGTACGAGTGTGGGTCTGAGGCTCCCTCTCATGTCTGTGGGTATAACGGCTATAGGAGGCCAATGCCTTTGGATAAAGCACAAGGTTAAAGCCAGAAAGACATTTAGGACAT